CATTTGCCAATTTGTTCACGACTTTGGCCAAGATGATAGAACATTTAGTAACAGAAGTTTCTCTGTTTCGCATTTTTCTATCAATGGTTTTAGCTTCTTGAGATATAAAATCTCAAACAAGTTGGTTTGTCTTCACAACTTTTAGACTTTCAGACTTTTCTAGTCTTGCATTGTTTTCATCTTTAATCATATCTAAATATTGATCTTTATTCATTCCATTTCTATACAAATCTGTTATACTCGTATTTTTAGCCAAAGTCTAATCTATTTTCACATCACGCACTTCTCTGTTTTTAAATCTTTGACTCATCTTCTTAAAACGACTTATATTTTCTTAAACGACTTCTGTGTCCAAATAATCATTCTTCCTTTTCCCAGAAGCATTTGAATTTTTTAACATTATCATCAGTACGCTAAACATTACTACAACTCTCGTGGAATGCTTGATCATCATCGGTTATGTATTAAATATGGCCGCCGTGGTCAGTTGGATATTAACAGCAGTCTTCATAATTCTGTTAATTCTTCAGTTACCAACTGTTCTTTTCAAAAATGAAATTGACGGGGGTTCCGTTCTTAGACCAGAAACGCAATGGCCGGTAACAAATTTGAAAATTCTGTGTTATGGAAAAGAAATTTTATCAAAATTTATTTCACTGGACAGTACTAAAGGATTGCGAGTTACAAAGCGTGAAGTGAATACAGCTCAGTATATGTGTCTCTTATGCCTGATTCTGTCAAACGATATACAGTTTAATCCAGGACCGCTATGTGCTCAACCAACCTTAACGTGTATCGGCTGCAAGGCAAAAGTCAGTGGAAACAATCAAGGTAATTTAGAAGTTTTGGCCACTGCTGAATGGATTTGTGATACATGTATTGACTTAATAGCTAATCATTACGATTTAGATCAGTCTGTTGATGACCTTGTCCAAGGTCTCCCAAAAGGTGTCACATTCGGTCATCTAAACGTCTTTGGACTCCGAAACAAATTAGATCAAATAAAAATATTGTTACGAAATGGTAAATTTGACATATTTGCAATCACTGAAAGTAAATTAGATGGAAATATCCTCGACGCTGAAGTTCAGATAAAGGGATATAATTTAGTTCGGCGAGACAGAAATCGGCATGGAGGGGGTGTACTTGTATATGCTAAAGAAAAATGGACCATATCCAACGTACAAATACGCGACAACATGGAAATGCTTTCTTTGGATATTAAGCAATATAACTCACCGAAAATCACAATTGCTGTCGTTTATAGACCACCGGATGCAAAAGCTAAATGGGTTTCTACATTCGAAAACGTAGTTGACGAAATAATGACAGACAGTAGCGAGGTAGTCATTCTTGGTGATTTTAACATCGATGAACTTAAAAACACCAGTTTCAAATCTCAGATGGAAATAAACGGCTTACACCAAGTTATTAACACGCCAACGCGAGTCACATCACATTCCGAAACCCTCATCGACCACATCTATGTTAGCGATAAATTCCTCTACTTAAATTCTGGAATTATTCCTATCGGCATTAGTGACCATCATTTAGTGTATACAATTAGAAACAAAACAATTAAAGAAAATAAACAACATGTTTACATCAAATATAGAGATATGAAACATGCAGACGAATATGCATTCCTATCCGACCTTGCTTCCACGGACTGGAACATAATTAGAAACCTGGAAAATGTAAATGATATGTGGGCCTTATTTAAAGACACTTTCTTTAAAGTCATTGATAAACATTTTCCAATGAGGGAAAGGCGCATCAGGGCGGATTCTGAGAAGTGGATTAATGACAACATATTGTCAGAAATGCGACAACGTGACTTTCTACATCGGAGAGCACTTAAATCTAAATCCGATGCCGATTGGAAAGCTTACAAAGCGGCACGAAACCGAGTTGGGATCCAGGTCAACGAAGCGAAACGCGAATTTGTAAACGAGGTAATCGAGCAGGCACACGCTAAGCCCAAGAATATGTGGGATCGTATAAAGGAATTTCTTCCCTCGAAACGAACTCAATCCACAACAACTCATTTAGAAGTCGATGGTGAAACAATTACTTGTCCCCAAGAAATCGCAAACAAATTCAATGACTTCTTTTCTAATATCGGACATAAATTTGCTTCTAATTTCGACAACTCCCTACCCACGGTTCCCCAACAAATGCCAGAAGGTTCATTTTCCATACCTTTTGTTAGTGAAAGCTTTGTTATCGACGAAGTACTTTCTATGTCTAACTCAAAAGCTACTGGTTTAGATGAAATTTCTGTTAAAATTCTAAAGCAAAGTATTCATGTCTTAGGAAATATTTTAACGCATATTTTGAATTGTTCAATCAAGTCGGGTGTTTTTGTTGATGAGTGGAAAAGTCCTAGGGTTACACCATTGTATAAAGCTGGTGAGAATTTTTTGCTCAATAATTATCGCCCAGTTTCGATATTACCTATCATAAGCAAAGTCTTAGAAAGGCATGTTCACAATTCTTTTTATGAATACCTTACGCATAACAATCTTATCAATGAAAAACAATCGGGTTTTAGACCTAAGCATTCATGCGAAACAGCACTTCATAGTATAATTGAAAAATGGTTACAAAATATTGATAGTGGTAAACTTACTGGTGTTTTATTTGTTGATCTTAGCAAAGCATTTGATACGGTGAATCATAATATACTTCTCCACAAACTACTTTCTTTTGGAATTTGCAAAGACTCTTTTAATTGGTTCAAATCGTACTTGTCGAATAGGACACAGTGTGTTAGATGGAATGGTACTCAGTCAGAAAAATTAGACATAACTATAGGCGTCCCTCAAGGATCAATACTTGGGCCATTGTTCTTTATCCTTTATGTCAATGACTACCCAGACTGCTTAAAACACTCAGCGGCTCACATGTATGCTGATGATACAACTCAGGATGTCTCAGATAAGAGTATCGATGTTATTGAGAATAAATTACATAGCGATCTTATCAATACACTATGTTGGATGGAGAAAAACAAGTTAACAATCAATCTTAAAAAAACTCAGTGCATGTTAATTGGTACAGAACAAAGATTAAGAAACTGTAGGAATTTATCTATTAAAGTGGGTAGTATTGCGATTGAAAATGTATCTTGTGCGAAACTACTTGGTGTCTACATTGACAAGTGTCTTACATGGTCTGAACACGTTGAGATTTTAACGAAAAGGCTTGCTTCCAAAATAGGTGTTTTGTCTAGATTAAGATCATTCATGTCCTCTGAGTTATTGTTGAAAATTTTTAATACAATTGTATTTCCCCATTTTAATTATTGCTGTACTGTTTGGGGCAATATGAAAAACAAAGAGAGTCTTAGCAAACTATGTAAACTCCAAAAGCGAGCTGCTAGAGTGATTTTAAATACAACTTTTTATACACCTACATCGGAAATGTTTTTACAACTGAGATGGATGCCAATTAATGATTATTTTATGTATAGAACTGTCATCCTTGTTTTTAAAGTTCTTCACGGATTAACTCCAGATTATTTAGATGTTTTTAAGTTTGTACATGAAATAAACAACAGAGCTACAAGATTGAGTCAAAGTAATTCATTGTACATTCCGAGGGCTAAAACAGAATATTATAGAAGATCTTTCACAATTTATGGTTCCCAGCTATGGAATAATTTGCCAGAATTTTTAAAGAATTGTCCATCTTTGCAAAGTTTTAAAACATCATACATAAGAAATTATTACCAGTCGTCAAACTAAAATATAATTACTTAGATGGTAAATATGATTGTTTTTAGTGGTAACGTAACATAAACCATGTGTATATATTGATTTTAGTAGCTACTTGCTTTATATTTACTGAGTATTATGTTTCTGTACATAATCATCTGTCTGTATATATGTTTTCAGGACCACAATGTAAACTAGTTGTAAACTAATTGTGCAATCCTGTATAAATAAAGGATATTATTATTATTATTATGTAACTATCATAATCGTCACATGCTTGAAATTCGTTTTCTATTTTGATCTTATTGTTTAATGAACCAATTTGCTCATCTTGTTTTTTCTGGTTTTCAAGAATTTTATTCAGCATAATTTGTTTATCGTTTTGTGTACTACCGCTGTTATGGAGATCGGCCACAACTTTCACAGATTTTTACGTTCCGCTGGATCTTGTACTTGTAGCGCTTACATACTACCAACAGAACTACCATGTTTCCTGGTCTTTGTTCCCTTAACCTCGACTTAAGAGTTCTTTCTGGTAACATCGATCGTTAATTTCACATGTTTCGTCTGTCTTTTCTGTGTCTACTTCTTCTTCAAAGCAAATAGTACTCTGTAATTGTTTCTTTTAAATCATCTGTGCCGCCATTTTTACGACTTTATCATAAAGAAGTTGAACCACCGCTTTATGGTAGTCATAAACTCAAACTCCTCGAGTTTTGTAAATAATAGTCATAAAAACAAAACTTTTCTAGTTTTGTAAATTAAGAAATCTAATCAATGTGTCAAACGTAAAAGCAGTTAAGAATTGAAGTTGCTAATTGGAGGACCACGCCCTTCCTCATTCATAACTCGTACCACACTTTCAGTCATTTTAGAAACTGAATACAACTGGGTTGCTTGTAGAGCTCTCCATCAGTGATAAAAAGTGCCTGTCAGAATTAATTACTGAGTCTAGATACCGGTATGTCCTAAAAATTTTATTGCAGATAATTATGTCATGCATTACACATCGCAGATCACTTTGTCTGCAAATTATCAACAATTAAAAAGTATATTTCACATTGCTGTAAAAGCTGCAAAAGCTTCTGTATGTGTAAACCACAAAAAGAAGATACAATTAAATGACAAACGAAAATGAAATTTAGCCAAAAAAAAGATAACATGACTTTCAGTTATATCAACAACAAATGAGGGGACAAATCTGCTTCTGTACACTAATATATATATATATATATATATATATATATATATATATATATATATATATATATATATATATATATATATATATATATATATATATATATATATATATATATATATATATCTTTCCCTAGAAGTTTAGGTGATCTAGCCCTTAGCAATTGCAATTTTAACTTTTTGCCCTTCAGATATTTGATGCCTTTACTAATAAAATCTGTCAAGACCTCAAGGGTTACTGCAGATAGCAGTGTGAATCAGACAGTTTCAATTGCACTTAGCAT